ATTCGCTACCCAGTTCGACAGAAAACGACGAAAACATTCATTCTTACGGAAAGGAATCTCCAACGGACACGGGCTCTAATCCTGGGAGAACCTCTAGTGCAAGTGTCTCGAATGGCTGATTCTCTAGAACTCCCTCGGACCCTATACGAAGCCACCACCCCGCTTCTCTCGAAATACGGTGACTAGAAAGAATTTTGCGACATTACGGGATTACCTCATTCCCTGGTCTCAACAGGAAAAGAGGTCTGGTTGCTGCGATAGGGTGCAAAGAACGGAGTTTTTGAACTTCCTGGGCGCGGCAACTATTACGAACTCGGGATCAAGATCACCGAGAAACCTGTAAGTTTGCAGGATATCGAATGACGGCATAACACTAAAAGAACACATGACAATCTGGGAAGAAGACGCCCAAATGGTTGTCACGGTGTTCTCCTGGTGATCAGACAACTCATTTATCTAAGTTCCTCTGCCGGGGATCGGTAGTATCGTAAGCACGAAACAAGTAACGGTTAATATACACGGACAACTTTATGAACTACGTATGCCCCTGTACGTGCCTGACGAAACTCATTGACTAATTGCAGATATCTTGACCGAATATCAAGGGGCGATTATCGTCAAGGACACAGATATCGGACTATCGTTAATTATTCAGCACGAAATCCAGACCGGCACGCCCTCGCCGAACGAAAGACAATGCTGAAACGAATCATGAAATTCGAAGCTAACGGTTGGATTGAGCCAACTATTAGACCACGGTCGTTCCCCGTAGTCTTACTAGTTCCGAACAAAAACGGGTCGATTCACATATGCAACGATTATAGGAAATTGAATGATATCACGATCAAGGATGTGTACCCCCTCTCTGGATTGATGATCTATTGGATGCGATTGGGTGTGCTAGATATTTTAGTAGGTTTGATATCCACCATGGGTTCCATCATATCCTGGTTAAGGAGGACGATCGGCCGATAACAGCGTTCGTATTGTTCGAAAGGTCCGTTGCCCTATGGGGATATGTAATGCGCCGGCTACCTTTCAGAGAGTGATGAACATCACCTTTCAGAACTTCGTCAACAAGACCTGACTGACTCAGAATTGATCAGCTTTTGCGTCATCGTGTACATGGATGATATCTTGGTGTATTCTGAATCGTTTCACAGGCATGCTCAACACATTGAGTGGACGTTTGGGGCGTTGCGCGATGCTGGGTTCAAGATCGTGTTGGAAAAAAATGAGTTCTTCCTTTCAGAGATCTCGTTCCTAGGGTACGTGGTGACTCGAGGGGGCTTGAGGCCAGACTTGAGAAAAGTCGAGGCGGTTCGAGAGGCTCCCACGGCTACGTCACTGACGTTGGTTCGAGCCTTTTTGGGGTTACCCTCGTACTACCAAAGGTTTATCAAGGGGTTCGCGGTGATTACTCGACCTCTAACAAACCTCCAAAGTAGGACGCGGACGGCGAACAGGCCTTTGTCGCTTTGAAGGAGGCCCTCGCCTCTGCACATATTTTGATTCGGCCCAATCCTGGTAAGTAATTCATCCTCAAATTTCCAAAAATTGATCCGAGGGCCTTGCATATTACATTCATGAAAATACAAAAAAAGGAGGCCTCGTCGGATGGTCATCCAAAATTCGACAAGAACACAGAGAAACAGGGGGGGGGAGGGAGGATAGCGCAGGTCCAGAAGTTGGCACGTCACATGCTGCCAAAAGGCAAAGAGGTAAGGAAAAGTAGGAGGAAACCAAAGCTGACCAGGGAAGAAAGCCTACCAGTCAGAGTGCCAGGAGCGCAGCCTGACCGAAACGCATCGGGGAAATTGCGCGTTGCATACTAGGAACTGTACATGAGGAGAAGTAATGCATATCTATCGATGCTTGTACCAGAAGCAGTCTATGGCCGCTGTTTTCACTACTTTCTTTAACTCCGTATATGTCAGTAGTGTCAAAGGCTTTATCTGTCCCTACCTCCGCAGATAGGACAACTATGGTGAGGATGATGTGGATGTTCACAAGGATAACCAAGGAGAGCTGCGCCAGCACAGCATTCAGCAGGATGGCTAGCACGAACCATCCCATCAAAACAGCTCTGACAGAGGACATATTCAACTTGTCCACATGTAAAAAAAACAGGAGGACATTCATCACAGTGCGGCATCATGCAGTTCTGATAGCGTCCTTGGGCACAAAAGTGAAAAGTGACAACGTATATCTGGGTGACACCCTTCAGTACAGACGGCGGCAGTCACAATGGTTTGATAATGGCTATGGCATAGACGATGCATTCCACAGCCAAAGGCCCACAGGCATCTCTGTCCCGCAACGAGAGTCGGTCAGACAATGCACGCAAAAATTCATTTACGTTGAAAATAGCCTGACTCATCGTCCCACCATTCCACAGTTCCCATTGGGCAGCTGCACGAATGAATACCATATAATGCCCCGGTCGGTGTAAAATACAGGTAGATATATGAGGATGGTTATTGAGGTCATTGCCTAGCATCGCATGATGCATATAAGAAGGTGGCGACTGTGGTACGCTAACTGTCAGACATTTACAGTGAAGCCTCCTGAGGTAGTATAGTAACCACCTTCAACAGTGTCATGCTATATATATATATATCGTCTATATATATATATTTTTATATAGGGGTAACTACGGCGCAGTCACGAAAGCACTTCGTAATTGCATTTGAAACTGCCTTTTAGCAGTTTAGTCAGGGCCCGCCGAGTTTCAACTCGGGCTGCCTTTAGGTAGCAGTTCAGTTATGAACAGTACCGGTACAGTCCCGGCCTTTAAAAAAAAAAAAAAACCTGTAGTTATTACACAGGGAGTGTATCTTCTTGCGGCCTTGCGAAAAATTCATCCTCGTTTCGGAGGGGGCTGCAACCGGCGGGAGCCTACACACACACACACAGAGGGAGAGAGAGAGAGGGTGCTAGAGAGAGAGGGTGCTGCCCCGGCCACTCCAAATCCTCTACTCTCCAAATGTGCAAAAGGAGAATGAATCTCCCGGCAGAATGAGGGAAGATGGCGGTGTATCCTCCCGCGTTGTTGCGGGAGATTCATTCTCGTTTTGCACATTTGGCGAGTGGCGCACGGTGTATGCTCCCGCGTTCTTGAGGGAGATTCATTCTCCTTTTGCACATTTGGAGAGTGGCGGGCGGAGCCCCGTGTGTGTGTGTGTGTGTGTGTGTGTATTCGCGCTCTCCCGCCCCTTGCAGCCGCATGCAAAACGAGAATGAACCTCCCACGTTCTCGCGTCAGATTCACTCGTTTTGCAAATTTGGAGAGCGCGGGACTGATCTCTCTCTCTCTCTCTCTGTCTCTCTCTCACTCTGTGTGTGCGTGTGTGTGTGTGTGTGTGTGTGAGTGCGTCTGCGCTCACTGCAGCCCGCTTTGAGCGCTCTATGATAGGCCGGGTATCGTAACTACAGGGGTTGGCCGTGGTGTCAAGCCGAAAGGGGGAAAAGAAAAGGGAGGACCAACGGACTCCCCCGGGCGACCTTTCAACTGCATTTGAAACTTGGGCCCTGACTGGACTGCACAAACGGAGTTTCAAATGCATTTCCGAACTCTAACGCTGACTCCGCCGTAGTTTTCTCATTTAGAGAGTATATATACATAGAGAGAGATTGCAAGTGCATACGCGTGTGTTCATTGTTACAAAGCCTAGGGAAAACCATGGCTCTCTTCCCATCGTCTGCCATACCTCCTACCTTCGCCAGCAGAGATCTTCAGAGGGTAGGAGAGGGCGAAGAGGAGGAATGGCGGACGGAGGAAGAGAGCCAGCAGAGATCACTTCAGGAAGACAATTATCAGCGGCCCATCCGACGTACAGACCATTTGATTTACTTAAAACCATAATTGATAGATAAGGTAGGTAGCTAATTACTACTAGTAATACTCCATATCTGGGCGCGGAACCACGGCGCACAGCAAGAACTCAGGGGAAGAGAAACAAGATGGAAGAAAGAACAGACTGACATAAGTGATCGCTCTACTACAAACAGTGGGTCTCGCCGCAAGGCACACGAAACGGAAACGAAACGAGGACATCTACCCGCGAAAGGTGTAAAAATACACTCGTTATTAGTGCAACGCGATGAACCTGGCCATATTCTGCAGGAAGATTTACTCGTTTCGTTTTTCGTTTCGTGTCCCGTGCGGCGACGCCTAGTATCCAAAAGAAAAGAAACACGCGCCATTTTGTTATGTCTTTTCTTGTCCATTTCAAACTAAAGAGGCAACTCAGGAGCAGTTTCCCCAAAAAAGGAAACAATGGGCCTCGCTCCGCTATTCTCCAAATGTGCAAAACGAGAGTGAACCTTCCGTTAAAATGTGGAAAGATACATCCGCCTCATATTTGTCTTCTGTGCATGTCGAGAGTAGTGAAGCGCGGCCCAATATCCAGTTAGCTAAATGAAGATTGAGTGTCGAGGAAAAAGGAAACAAAAACAGAAAAGGGATGCCACAATATCCAAACAGATGCGCAGGAAATGCATTCACTGATATGAAGATAAATGTCAACATCCGTAAGGTCTACACAACGAATTTTTCTATGCGTACATTGAATCACCGCCTGTCCAATTTCAAAATGAAAAATCATGTGCATATCAGAACCGTGCCGACGGCAACAGACTAAGGATAGAGCATCTGCGCAAATGCCCTATCCTGTTATTACTCCCAAAAGTCTCTTTGCTCCGTCTTGTAAGTGCACTACCATCGTCATTCTCGTCTCCTCTCCTCACCGCATACCAGCTCTCTCTCTCTCTCTCTCTCTCTCTCTCTCTCTCTCTCTCTCTCTCTCTCTCTCTCTCTCTCTCTCTCTCTC